CAAAGTGGCTATATTAATTTACATTCTGACCATCAGTGCAAGAGGGTTTCCTTTTCTCCACATCCTCTTTAGCATTTATTGTTCATCGATTTTTTGATGGTGGCCGTTCTGACTAGTGTGAGGTAGTACCTTATTGTAGTTTGATTTGCATTTCTCTAATAATAAGCAGTGTTGAGCATTTTTTTTTCATGTGTTTATTAGCTATCTGTATATCTTCTTTGAGAAATGTTTGTTTAGGTCTTCTGCCCATTTTTTGATTGGGTTCTTTTTCTGATATTGAGCTGCCTGAGCTGCTTGTATATTTTGGAAATGAATCCTTTGTCAGTTGCTTCATTTGCAATTATTTTCTCCCATTCTGAGGGTTGTCTTTTCACCTTGTTTATGGTTTCCTTTGCTGTGCAAAAATTTTAAAGTTTAATTAGATCCTGTTTGTGTATTTTTGTTTTTATTTCCACTACTCTAGGAGGTGGGTCATAGAGAACCTTGTTGTGATTGATGTCAGAGCATTCTGCCTGTGTTTTCCTCCAGGAGGCTTGTAGTTTCTGGTCTTACATTTAGGTCTTTAATCCATTTTGAGTTTCTCTTTGTGTATAGTATTAAGAAGTGTTCTAATTTCATTCTTCTACATATAGCTGTCCAGTTTTCACAGCACAAGTTATTGAAGAGATTATCTTTTCTTCATTATATAGTTTTGCCTCCTTTGTCAAAAATAAGGTGCCCATAGGTACATGAGTTTATCTCTGGGCTTTTTGTTTTGTTCGATTAGACTATATTTCTGTTTTTGTGCCCGTACCATACTATCTTGATGACTGTAGCTTTGAGTCAGGAAAGTTAATTCCTCTCACTCCATTCTTCTTTCTCATGATTGCTTTGAGTATTTGGGGTCTTCTGTGTTTCCACACGAATTGTGAAGTTTTTTGCTCTAGTTCTGTGAAAAATGCCATTGGTAATTTGATAGGAATTGCACTGAATCTGTAGATTGTTTTGGGTAGTATAGTCATTTTCAGTGTTTATTCTTCTAATCTAGGAAGATGGTATATCTCTCCATCTGTTTATGTCATCTTTGATTTCTTTCATCCATATCTGATAGTTTTCTGAGTACAGGTCTTTTGTCTCCTTAAATAGGTTTATTGCTAGGTATTTTATTTTCCTATTGCAGTGGCAAATGGGATTAATTCCTTAATTTCTCTTTCTGATTATTCATTGTTAGTGTATAGTAATACAAGGGATTTCTGTGTATTGATTTTGCAGCCTGCACCTTTACTAAAATTACTGATTAGCTCTTGTAATTTTCTGATAATTTTCTGTAATTTTCTGAATATCTTTAGAGTTTTCTATGTGTAGTATCTGCAAACAGTGAAAGTTTTACTTATTTTCCAGTCTGGATTCCTTTTATTTTTCTTCTCTGATTGCCATGGCCAGCATTTCCAAAACTATGTTGAATAATAGTGGCAAGAGTGGGCACACTTTTCTTGTTCCTTATCTTAGATGAAATACTTTGTTTTTCACCATTGAGAATGTTTACTGTGGGTTTATCATATATGACCTTTATTATGTTGAGGTAGGTTCCTTCTGTGTCCATTTTCTGAAGAGTTTTTGTCATAAATTGGTGCTGAATTTTGTCAAAAGCTTTCTCTGTATCGAGATTTTCATATGATTTTTATCTTTTAATAATGTGGTATATCATATTGATTGACTTGTGTATATTGAAGAATCCGTGCATCCTTGGATAAACCCAACTTGATCCTTAATCTATTGTTGGCTTTTGTTTGCCAGAATTTTGTTGAGAATTTTTGCATCCATGTTCATCAATGATACTGGCCTGTGATTTTCTTTTTTTGTGATGTCTTTATCTGGTTTTGGTATCAGGGTGATGGTAGCCTCATTGAATAAGTTCAGAAATGTTCCTTCCTCCGCAATTGTTTGGAATAGTTTCAGAAGGATTGGTATTAACTCACCTCTGAATGTTTGGTAGAATTCTTCTGTGAAGCCGTCTGTTCCTAGACTTTTCTTATTGGCAGTTTTTAAATAATTGGTTTTATTTCAGTATTAGTAATTTTCTGTTTCCTCCTGGTTCAGTCTTGGGAGATTGTACCATTCAGAGAATTTGTCCATTTCAATTAGGTTACACATTTTATTGGGATATTTTTGCTCATACTAGTCTATTATGATCCTTTGTATTTCTGTGGTGTCGGCTGTAACTTTTCCTTTTTCATTTATGATTTTACTGATTTTGGCTCTCTCCCTTTTTTTCTTGATGAGTCTCTCTGAAGATTTGTAAATTTTGTGTATCTTAAAAAAAAACCAAAACCTTTTACTTTCTTTGCTCTTTTTTATTGTTTAGTCTTAATTCGTTTGTGCCCTGACTTTTATGATTTCTTCTACTAACTTTGAATTTTATTTCTTCTTCTTTCGCTGGTTGCTTTAGGTGTAATGTTAGGTTGTTTATTTAAGATTTTCTTGTTTCCTGGGATAAACTTGTATCACTATTAACTTCCCTCTTAGAAGTGCTTTTGCTATATCTCATTTTCATTTGTCTCCAGATATTTTCTGATTTCTTCTTTGACTTCTTCAGTGATTCTTTGATTGTGTAATAGCATATTGTTTTATCTCAGCGTGTGTGTGTGTGTTTTTCCTTGTACTTGATTTCTAGCTTCATAGCCTCATGATAGGAGAAGATGCTTGATATGATTTCAGTTTTCTCAAACTGACCACCGTCTGCTCTGTGCCCCTGCATGGGATCTATCCAGGAGGATGTTCCAAGTGCACTTGTAAAGGATGTGTATTCTGTTTGGGGGTTGAATGCTCTGTAAATATCAGGTCTGATGTGTCATTTAAGGCCTGTGTTTCGTTATTTATTTTCTGTCTGGATGATCTATCCAGACAGATATTTGTGGGGTGTTAAAAGTGGGGTGTTATACCCCATTGATATAAGTGGGGGGTTAGTGTCCTCACTATTGTTACTGTCAATTTCTCCTCTTATGTTTTTTTAACATTTGGCTTTATCTGTTGAGGTGCTTCTATGTTGGGTCCATACATATTTATAGTTGTTATATTCTTGGATTGATCCTTTGATCATTATATAGTGTCCTTTGTCTCTTGCAGCCATCTTTAAAAAGTATATTTTATCTGATATGAGTATTGCTATTCCAACTTTTATTTGATGAAATAAAATAAATGAAATGCATGAAATGCATTTTTCCATCCTGTCTCTTTCATTCTGTATATCTTGAGAAGTGGGTCTTTCATCAACAGCATATTTGTGGATCTTTTATATTCATTCAACCAACCTATGTCTTTTGGTTGGAGTATTTAATCCGTTTACATTATGGTAATTGTTGATATGTATATTCTTACTGCCATTTTGTTTACTGTGTTGGATTTGTTTTTGTAGGTCTTTTGTTTTTGTAGGTCTCTTCTCCCTTTACTCTTTTGTTCTCTTGTGATTTGATGACTGTCTTTAGTGTTATATTTGGATTCCATTTTCTTTTTTGTATGTATATTATAGACTTCTGGTTTGTTGCAATTACCATGAGGTTTTATATTGGAATGTGTATTGTTGTAAGTTGATCTCTTATTTTCTAATGCATTTTAGGTACTCTGCATTTGTACTCTTCCCCTCATGATTACTATTCTTTATTTTATATTTTACATCTAGTTTTGTGTAACCCTTAACTGCTTGTTGTGGATACAAATGGGTTTTTTTGTCTTTTAACCTCCCTACTAGCTTTGTGCATGGATGGTTTCCTACTTTTATTGTATGTTTACCTTTACCAGTGAGTGTTTCCATTTTGTCATTTTCTTGTTTCTAGTTGTGGCCTTTTCTTTTCTGCCTCTTGAAGTTTCTTTAGCAGTTTTTATAAAGCTGGTTTTGTGGTGCTGGATTTTCTTAGCTCTTGCTTGTCTGTAAAGCTTTTGATTTCTCCATCAAATCTGAATGAGACCCTTGCTGAGTAGAGTATTCTTGGTTGTAGGTTTTTCTCTTTCATCACTTTTAAGTACATCATGCACATTCTTCTGGCCTGCAGTTTGTGCTGAAAAATCAGCTGGTAGTTTAATGGGAATTACCTTACAAGTCATTTGTTGCTTTTCCCTTGTTGCTTTTAAGTCTGTCCTTACCTTTAACTTTTGTCATTTTGATTACAGTGTGTTATGGTATATTTCCTTTGTGAATTAATCCTGTATGGGACTCTATGCTTTTTGTACTTGGGTGTCTGTTTCCCTTCCCAAATCACAGATGTTTTCAGCTATTGTTTCTTCAAATATTTTCTTAGACCCTTTCTCACTGGGATCCCTATAATGTGAATGTTAGCATGCTTCCTGTTATCCCAGAGGTCCCTTAATCTGGCCTCATTTCTTTTCATTCTTTTTTCTGTTACATGGCAGTGATTTCCACTCCTGTGTCTTCCAGTTTACTGATCCATTCTTCTGAATCATTGAGTCCACTACTGATTCCTTCTATAGTATCCTTCATTTCAGTTATTGCATTCTTTAATTGTTTCATTGTTCTTTGTATTTTCTAATTCTTTTTTGAAAGTTTATAATTTCTTGCTCTCTGCATCTGTGCTCCTGCCGAGTCCTTTGATTGTCTTTACGGTCATTACTCTGAACTGTTTCTTGGGTAGATTGCCTACCTCCACATCACTTAGTTGTTCTTATGAGGTTTTATCTTGTTCGTTCATCTCAAATATATTCCTCTGTCACCTCATTTTATCTCAAATGCTATGTAGTAGGTTGGTTACGTTTCTTGACTTTGGAGAAGCGTTCCTCTGTAAGACATCTTTTGCATCCCAGCATTGCTCACCCAACAATGACCAGGGGCCAGGTAGTCCCAGGGTAGTGTCTGGCCTGAATTTGCAGATTATTCTGTGGGTTGCAGAACAGTAGTTTTCTTTCTTTGAGGGGCTGGTGCCTGTCCCCTGGTGGGTGGAGTTGGGTTTTGATCCTCTGGCAGATCCTGGGTCTCTGACTCTCCTTCACTTATTCCTTATCTCCTTTAGGTGGTTCCTCCATCAGCTTCAGGCCAAGTTCGAAGTTACTATGTCGATTGGAGAATGTTGCGTGATGTAAAGAGAAGAAAAATGGCCTACGAGTATGCAGATGAGAGGCTACGGATCAATTCTCTTAGGAAGAATACTATTCTTCCAAAAAACCTTCAGGTTAGCTCATTAAGATGAGTATCTGCCAGAAAAGCATTAATTCAAATCACTTCATACTGTTAGTTGTAACTTAGTATACTTTGTGAAGACTAGAATCTAGTTTTCTTGGTCAACATAAACAAATACCATTGAAACTTTTGATTAGTTTCAAATGAAAAAATTATTCATTCTTAACTAGCCTTTCAGCCTTTTCATTAGGTGATACTTAGAAAGTACTGAGGCATGGTGACCACACAGAAATTGGATAATTATTTTGACCTATGGTGTCTCTCCAGTTCATCCCAGTCTTTCAGCGTGCCCAGCACATGACCTACACTATTCCTTATCGAAGGCCATCCCTAAGCCTGCTTCTGAATTCCTTTACCCACGAGGTGGCCTTCATATAGGTTTGACTTCTTGTCATACTGTTTAACTTGAAAAAGAGAATGTCAGCTCAGGCTTCCTGAAGCATAAGTCCTGTACCAAATTGTTAGCATAAAATACCTGCATTCAAGAGTCTTATCAGAGACTATAACTCATACTCAAGGCCATTAAACTTACCAAAAGCTCAGAGTAAAAATTATTTCATTCATTTAAATTTGGAGAATAATATACAGGCTCTTCATTATCATGGATTCTTTTTAAATCTTATCTAAATTCAGCCAGATAAGCAGAAAACGGAGTGCCTTGGACCATTGTGTTACAGCTTTTATTGTAATGGCATTAAGCTACTTGCCTATATTTAGGCAGTAATAAGTGGCTCCTGAGAAACAAAGCTTAAGATGTTAGGGAGGACAAATTTATGAAGACCTCCATGAAGAGTCTCCAGCTTGAGAACCGTCAATAGCTGTGCAGAGCCTCTGTGAATCCTGGGAACTTACATGGCTCTTTGTTGCCTGCCAACTAGCTTACAAGGTGAATTTCTCTCCCAGTGCTAATGAATTTACAGGCTCTCACAGAATGCCCTTTTGTTTCATTTTCCCTTTGCCTAGTTTCCTTGTTTGCTATACAGATCGATTTGTTATATATCGATTTTCTCAGTAAAGCTGGGACAGTCATTTGGGGAGACAACAGAAGTGCATGCATGTATTTTCCAAAAGAGAAATGAGAATGTTAGCCTTGAGGTCAGGGACCGAAAGGAGGGAGAGGGAAGGCTTGGGTACTGATACTGTTTCTTAGGCTAGTTGCTGGTTACACAGCTGTTTTCTGTTGGTGAAAACTTTTTGAGCTTTACACTTACAGTTTGTGGATTCTTGATTTTGTTTGTTAGGTTTCAATTTAATTTTGAAAAATTACATTGCGAGTATCTGTCATTTTTCCTTTTGGCCTGTTTCTACTCAGTAAAATTCATCATAGTATCCAGGGTCCTTTTGCCGAACTTGGCTGCATTAATGAATCTAGCCTTTTGTGTTCTCTTCCTCTGAGCATTGACTCATCATCTAGAATTAATAAATGCATGTGATCTGTGTAAATAATGTTGTGACTTCCCTTAGGAGGTGGCTGATGAAGAAATCGCTGCCCTTCCCCGGGATAGCTGCCCCGTTAGAATCAGAAATCGATGTGTTATGACGTCCCGTCCACGAGGTGTAAAGCGGCGCTGGAGGCTCAGCCGTATCGTCTTCCGTCACTTAGCTGATCATGGGCAACTGTCTGGGATCCAGCGAGCAATATGGTGATCAGCTCCAGAACCTACTGACCTTGCAGGAAAACCATTTAGGCAAGAAGAGACTTTTCTAATAGATAAAAACCTGATTTTTATTTGAGTGTTCTGTCAGTGAATAATATTTTTCTAAACATATTGTTCCCAAGCATAGTGCAAAGAGTAATAAAAAAAAGAGTTTGTGAAAATATGTTCTGTATGGTTGTCTTTTCCTTCAAATTTAATCTTTTAGCAACATGTAAGTGTTCCTGTATTTTTTTAAAGAGTATTACTTCATCCAGCAGTACTATCTTGCTCTTTGACATGTAACTCATGTGTGGTAATTTTTAATCCTGGACTGGCTACCCAGACCTGCACAGCTCACTTTTAGTTGGTTGTGAAGACAGACAGTACATTGGAAGGTAAATGTGATGTTCTGGATTATCTAACTAATGCTCAACCTCTTTGTGTGATGGCTGAACCAAAAGAGAATCACTACTTGTTTTCTTGCTCCATCTTCAAGAGCCCTTAGAACAAAATGTGTCTCTTTAAGGCCTGAAAACCTATCCCAGGAGGAAAAGTCCTGCTGGAATGGTATGTATTTGCTGTATTCATATTTATTTCATCTGTAACAGAAATGAATAAAGGGAGAAAAAGTTGTCTTGTGCAGTAACTTGATGATGTCATCAGCCCAGTGATAAAATATCCATGGGGTAGTACGGAAGCACCTACCTGACATCCGTCTAGAAGATGTTCCTGGAACTGACACCTGAACTTAAATCAGGAGGCAAGCGATGAGACTGTCTGCAAAGAAACAGTGAAAGCAAAGGCATCAAACAGTGAAACTGCAGTCACTTCAACGTATCAGAACTAAGAAGCACACCACAAAGGCTGTATCGAGGAAGACATCATGTGTGAAGGAGCTAAGACTTAAATACCAGCTGTCAGAGTTTTAAGCAAAGGAATGACATGATAGTTTGCCCTACATATAAATAACAGCTATGTGGTGGATAGCCGTGAAAGGAAAAGATGACAAGCAAGATAAACAGCTAGGAGGATATCTTAATTGTTGAGGATGACAAGGGCCTGAACTAAGGTAGTGGTATTAGCAAAGTAGAAAAAGGGACAACTTTTTTTATTTGGCTGCACCTTCTTCCAATAACACAAGAGAAGACTCTACACATGGACGTCACCAGATGGTCGATAGCAAAATCAGATTGATTATGTTCTTTGCAGCCAAAGATGTAAAAGTTCTATACAGTCAACAACAAGACCTGGAGCTGACTGTGGCTCAGATCATGAACTCCTTACTGCCAAATTCAGACTTAAACTGAAGAAAGTAGGGGAGACCACTAGACCATTCAGGTATGACCTAAATCAAATCCCTTACAATTATACAGTGGAAGTGACAAATAGATTCAAGGGATTAGATCTGATAGAGTGCCTGAAGAACCATGGATGGAGGTTTATGACATTATACAGGAGGCAGTGATCAAGACCATCCCCAAGAAAAAGAAATGCAAAAAGGCAAAATGATTGTCTGAGGAGGCCTTACAAATAGCTGACAAAAGCAGCGAAGCGAAAGGCAAAGGAGAAAAGGAAAGATACACCTATTTGAATGCAGAGTTCCAAAGAATAGCAAGTAGAGATAAGAAAGCCTTCCTCACTGATCAAAGTAATAGAGGAAAAACAATAGAATGGGAAAGACTAGAGATCTCTTCAAGAAAATTAGAGATACCAAGGGAACATCTTGTGCAAAAATGGGCTCAGTAAAGGACAGAAATGGTATGGACCTAACAAGCAGAAGATAATAAGAGGTGGAAATAATACAGAAAAACTATACAAAAAAGACCTTCATGACCCAGATAACAACAATGGTGTGATCACTCACCTAGAGCCACTCACCTAGATCCTGGAATGCTAAGTCAAGTGGACCTTAGGAACCATCACCATGAACAAAGCTAGTGGAGGTGATGGAATTCCAGTTGAACTATTTCAAATCCTAAAAGATGCTGCTGTGAAAGTGCTGCACTCAATATGCCAGCAACTTTGGAAAACTCAGCAGTGGCCACCGGACTGGAAAAGGTCAGTTTTCATTCCATTCCCAAAGAAGGGCAATGCCAAAGAATGTTCAAACTACCACACAGTTGCACTCGTCTCACACGCTAGCAAAGTAATGCTCAAAATTCTCCAAGCCAGACTTAGCAGTATGTGAACCGTGAACTTCCAGATGTTCAAGCTGGTTTTAGGAAAGGCAGAGGAACCAGAGATCAAATTGACAACATCCACTGGATCATTGAAAAGGCAAGAGAATTTCAAAAAAACATCTACTTCTGCTTTATTGATTACACCAAAGTCTTTGACTGTAGATCACAACAAACTGGAAAATTCTTAAAGAGATGGGAATACTAGACCACCTTATCTGCCTCCTGAGAAATCTGTATGCAGGTCAAGAAACAAGTTAGAACTGGACATGGAACAACAGACTGGTTCCAAATTGGGAAAGGAGTACGTCAAGGCTGTATTTTATCACCCTGCTTATTTAACTTATATACAGAATATATCGTGTGAAATGGCTGGGCTGGACAAAGCACAAGCTGGAATCAAGGCTTCCAGGAGAAATTATCAGTAACCTCAGATACGCAGATGACACCACCCTTATGGTAGAAAGTAAAGAAACTGAGGAGCTTCTTGATAAAAGTGAAAGAGGAGGGTGCAAAAGCTGGCTTAAAACTCAATATTAAAAACTATTATTGTAGCATCCGGTCCTATCACTTCATGGTAAATAGATGGGGAAACAATGGAAACAGTGACAGACTATCTTGGGGGGCTCCAAGATCACTGCAGATGGTGACTGAGGCCATGAAGTTAAAAGATGCTTGCTCCTTGGAAGAAAAGCTATGACCAACCTAGACAGCATATTCAAAAGCAGAGACATTACTTTGTCAACAAAGGTCCATCTAGTCAAGGCTATGGTTTTTCCAGTAGTCATGTATGGATGTGAAAGCTGGACTATAAAGAAAGCTGAATGCCAAAGAATTGATGTATTTGAACTGTGGTGTTGGAGAACTCTTGAGAGTCCCTTCGACTGCAAAAAGATCAAATCATCAATCCTAAAGGAAATCAGTCTGAAAAAAGTTCATTGGAAGGACTGATGTTGAAGCTGAAACTCCAATACTTCGGTCACCTGATGTGAAGAACTCAGTCACTGGAAAAGACCCTCATGCTGGGAAGGACTGAAGGCAGGAGGAGAAGGGGACGACAGAGAGTGAGATGGTTGGATGGCATCACCGACTTGAAGCTCCAGGAGTTGATGCTGGTCAGGGAAGCCTGGAGTGCTGCAGTTCATGGGGTCACAGAGAGTTGGACATGACTGAGTGACTTTGCTGACTGATTACAGATCATAACTAGAACATGAAAGTTGCTGACTTCTGGCATATCATTGACAACCTACCTTTTCCTTTGAATCAGGGTTCAAGTACTGTTCACATTTTGGGGGGAGGAGCCATCTCCTACTCCTTTTTCTTCATGTAATTCATTTGTTGGAGGAGCCAGGTTATTGGTCCTGTAGAATGTCAACATTTGGCTGTCTGCCTCTTTATGTGTCCTTTAACTTGGTCCTCTATTCCTATAAAGTAATATTTACATCCAGTAGCTTGACCAGATTCAGGTTTAATATTTTAGGAATGGATGCTGTGTATCCTGTTCCATTACATCAGAAGGCTCATATCTGGTTGTCTGACTTTTGCTCTAGTCATTTGTCTGTGAAGAAAACTATGCCATTCCTTTGCTTAAAACTTTCAGTGTTAGCTGCTTCACATATGTGATGCCTTCCTTGATACGGCCTTTGTTGTGTGCTTCGTAGTTCTGATACGTTGAAGTGACTGCAGTTTCACTGTTTGATGCCTTTGCTTCCACTGTTTTCTTTGCCGGCAGTCTCATCCCTCGTCTCCTGATTCAAGTTCAGTGGATCCAGGAGGGGTCAGCCTCAACCCTGCATTTGAAGTTCCCCATTTATTAGCCTGTCACCTAGCGATTTTAGCATTTCACTGATGGTTGTTACCCTGACCTGTTTCAATTAATGGTGGTTTTCTAAATTCCATGACTTTTTCTGCATTAGATGGAATTTTTCTGTAAGGAACTTAATTTTATTTTCCTGAAATAAGTCTCTTAAAGACTGGATATACATACATGATTTTCTACTAGTTTTTAAAGTTGGTGCTATAGCAACTTCCAAAGGTAACATGATTTTTCACTATCATTATGATAGTGACAATTTTACACTTTCTGTGTATTTGTTTCAGTCCCCTCCATACATGATTTTGATGCTCAAAATAATCCTTTCACTCTTGGGTCCTATAACCTGTTAATTTGGTACAGGGTATTTGATAGTTCCTTTGCTTTCTGGCATAAGATAACGCAGGTTTACCTTGGTCTATTTCCTGCCTCATACTTTTTTTTAAGGGTCCATTTTTTAGTAGGAAATGTTGGTAGACTACATGTGAGCCCTTAAGGTGCTGCTCATTGCTATTGAATTCTGAATTATCAGTGCTTTTAGGCCCTTTTGGTGGCAATTGCTAGGAGATGTGTACTTTTATACTGCTAAGTTTATACTGATTTTATACTGTAAAAAATCTTAAATTCCTAATGACAATCTAATTATTACTGTCATTACATAATACGTAAATATGGTTTCAATGTACTACCAATTTTACTACTAATAGTAATGATTGCATTATGACTTGTGTGGGGTCTTTTGTCCCTAGAAAATGGACAAAACACTGTATTCTAAGGTCACTTGAAAGTAGTATAACACTATGTATTTTGTTTACAAATGTTAGGGTTTTTCTTTTCTTTTTAAAAATATTGACGTATAGTTAGTTGACTTACAGTGTGGTTAACTTCAGTGTACAGCAAAGTGACTCACATAAATATGTATTCCTTTCCAGATTTTTTTCCATTATAGGTTAATTGAGAGATAGTGAATATTTTGTGTATGTGAGGAAGTGTTTCCAGCTTCATGGATTTACATGCAACTGGTTCAGCTTTCCCAACACCACTTGCAGAAGAGGCTTTTCCTCCATTATATAGTCTTGCCTCCTTTATTGAAGATAACTGACCACAGGTTTGTGGGTTTATTTTTGGCCTTTCCGTTCCCTTGAACTAATCTATGTCTGTTTTTGTGCCAACACCATACTATTTTGCCTAGTGTAGCTTTGTAGTATTGTCTGAAGTCCAGGAGGGTTATGCCTCCAGCTTTGTTTTTTCCTCCTAAGGATTGCATTGATAGTTCTGGATCTTCTGTGGTTCTATGTAAGTTTTAGGATTACTTGTTCTAGTTCTGTGAAAAATGTCATGGGTACATTGATTGCATTAAACCTGTAGATTGCTTTGGGTGGTATGGCCATTTTAACTAATTCTTCTAATCCAACAACATGGCATTTGTTTCTTTGAATCACCTTCTATATCCTTTATCAGTTCATTATAGTTTCCAGCATGCATTTCACTTGCTTGATTAGATTCCTTCCTGAAGTGAAGTGAAAATCGCTCAGTCCTGTCCAACTCTTTGCGACCCCATGGACCATACAGTCCGTGGAATTGTCCAAGGAAGAGTACTGCCTTCGCCAGGCAGTCTTTCCAACTGGAGATCAAACCCAAGTCTCTTGCATTGCAGGCTCTTTACCAGCTGAGCCACCAAGTTCATTCCTAAGGTACTTTGTTTTGATCATGAGTTTTTTAAATTGAAATGTAGTTGATTTATTCAATAATGTTTCAGGTGTACCACAGTGATTCAGCTATACATACACACATATATATATGTATTTTTTCAGATTCTTTTCCATGATAGGTTTTTATACTGTACAGTTCCCTTCACTTGGGCTAGGAAGTGCAGAGGTGGCATGACCCTCCGTGCTGATCTCTTTTTTTCCCAGCCTGCCACAACCTAGGTGTTGCACCCTCCTTTGAGCCTCTGAGGCTCTTTCCCAGCTGACCTTTCAGCTGGTGAAGGATCCCAGGGTGAGGAAACTGGTCACAGCTCAGGGGCACAGGTCTCACCAATTCTTGTTTCATCCTACCCAGCTACGTGGTGATATTTCTTGCCACTTTGGTTCTATGAGACCTTTTGCCAGTGTTCAGTGGGCATTTGGTGAGAATTATTCTTTAGGTGGGTGTGTTTTCGTTGTATTTGTATGAGTGAGTTCTGCCATCTTGATCTGTCCCCAGGTTTCTAGGTTTTAAATTCTTAAATTTCAGGTGGTCAAAACAATGGAAAAAGGTACATTCACAGGATTGCTCCCATCCCATCTGTTTTCTTTCCCTATTGGTGGCCATTTTTATTAGTTTTTTCTTCCATTGTCTATTTACATGCAAATATATATATTATGTATTCACATTTCTCACCCTTGCTGACAGTAAGGTAGGTTTAACAGAAACAACATTCTGCACTTTGCTTTTCCACTTACCATATCCTGGCTGATCACTGTATATCAGTATATGGAAACAATCTTCATTTTTTTGGTGACTATCAGTACTTTCTGTGTAGATGTTTCAAAGTACTAGTTTACTCATCCACTCCCCTATGAACTGACATTTGGGTGTCTTTCTTGTGTATACCTCAGTATCACTCCAAATTTTTGCCAGGGTGATCTTTGGGAAAGGGCCTAGTAGAATTGAGAGGATAAATACATGTATAATTCTGGTAAATACTACCAAGTATTCCTCTATACAAGTTTTAAGTTTCTCAACCTCTTTATTCCATTACCATGTATGTGTTGCCCCATACTGTAACAGTCAGTGCATTTTAAACGGTTTTAAAATTATTTCTCTTCTTAACAAGGTATTTTTGTATGTTAAAGGTCACTTACATTCCTTTTTATAAGGAAATGTTAATAATTTTAGAATTCTTTCAATGTTTGGTTATTGTGGAGGTTTTGCATCTTGCTCTTGTCATTTTAGAAGGAATAATAACCTTTAAATAAACAATACCCCTAAAAACCTGACATTTCTGATATACTCTTTGACAGAACAGCTTTACTAACTTTACTGAGCATAAAATACATGGATTTGCACATTTATTGTTGCTTTAGGGTTACCGTTTTTATAAGACATCTATCTGATCCATAGCAAAACTTCCTTGTTAGTACCATACAAATGTGTTTGTCTACTATGTTTAGATTTAGTTCTAATTTATTCATAAATGTATTTAAGCCTAGAGAAAAATATTTGTGATTAGATTAGTAGGCCATGGTGATACATGCTATATGCATTAATTAAGCTGTGGGAGTAAAGCGATCAACCTCTATAACCACCTTAAAACACAGGTACAAATTTGCATTTTATGTAAAAATTCAGGCTTTATTTCTACTTATTCTTACACTGGTGGGAGCTGATGTCAGGAACTGAAAGGCAAGCACGAACTTTGTTTTCTACCTCTTAGCTGAACAATAATACACACAATGTGGCATTTTCATTAGGCAAGACTTGCTTTTTTACATTTCACACCAGAATACATTACTCTTCTTGAATAAAATGACCTGGTTACTAAAGAAACCATCGGTGGAGGAAGTGTTTAATAAGCGAATTTTATTTAAATTAAATCCTCCAGCAGGAAGTGGAGAATTCATTGCCTTTACTTAGAAGAAGGCTGTGTAAGTAGTTATATGTCAGATTTGTGCAGCTCAGCAACATTTCCTTATTGGAAACATTATTTTTCCACATCACAGTTCCCAAAAAGACTTTAAAGTCTCAGAAGTCTGTATCTCCTTTGGCTTGCTTTTCTCTTGATTCCACCCAGGCTTTATTAATGGTTCGCTTCATATCATCATCTCCATCTTCATAAATTTTCTTTAGAACATTCATTAATCCCTCACTAGGATCTGTTTCAGTGTCATAGGAGGGCTTTCTATTAAAAAAAAATACACAATGAAGAGTGGGGGAATATATATATAATTATGATATTTTATACCTTATGATTACTAAGTACAGAGAGACATATGAGGCTGTAGGAAGTACATGAGGTAAGAGTCAGATAGTATCCTAAAAGAAAGAATCAAAACATGCACAAATCTGTCTAAGACAATATACACCCACACTTAGCTCATCAAAGAATGGTCATCAAAAATGGTTAAGGGGTTGTTATCTTGGGACCCTGGCATTTTAGGTGAGTTTTAGCAGGAAAGGTAAGTAAATAATCATTTACCTTTCTGAACTGTTTTAATGTTTTAAAACCATGTTTCCTCATGTAATTTGAAATTTTCATTGAGAGAAAAATAAACATACACTGTAACACATAGACACATACTGAAGCACATATATATTTTAATTAGAAAAGCATTCCTCTTAAGACTGAAATACAGGCATCTTGAGCTTGGTGGTATAAAAGCACACCTGCAGTTCAATCAGTGTGCAACCTGGGCCCATTAACTTTTCCACTCACCTCATTAAGTGCCAGATTCTTGGGATACAGTAAGACAGGTTCCTATATTCAGGTGATCCATTCTAGATTTAAAATCAATTCCACGGATAATGCCTAACCTTAGCCAACCACAACCGAAATGCCCAGTGGCTATGGGAAGGGGGAGTGAGAGATGTGGATGGTTAATTGACTCAATGTAGTACATTACCCCTGCAGGAGAACAAGAGGAATGTTTGACCTAGAATGGAAGTAGCTCTGAATAAACGTTTTTTTCAGAATAGCCAGTACTAAGTAGGATAAAAATATTCTCTTTTTCACTCTATACCAGTGATGGTGGTGGTGGTGGTTTAGTCGCTAAGTCATGTCTGATTCTTGCAACCCCATGGACTGTAGCCCGCCAGGCTCCTCTGTCCATGGAATTTTCCAGGCAAGGATACTGGAGTGGACTGCCATTTCCTTCTCCAGGGGATCTTCCCGACCCAGGAATCAAACCCAGGTCTCCTGCATTGCAGGCAGATTCTTTACCAGTGATAGTGAAATTCTAATTACATAGCAGCAACTTGTGGAACTCAAAAACTGTATATGGGTATCTGGGCTACTCTGTAACTACTGAAGTGCAATCTCCCAGAACTAGCAGAGTTATCTGTATAGAAGCACCACAGCCCAGGGGAAAGAGCTGGCACAAAACCACCAACCACAAGTACAAAGACCTCCTTGAGAAGCAACCTGCCAGATGCATGCCCTCTTCTGGTGCCCTCTGACAAGCTGAAGCAGACGTGAGGTAACTGGGTTGGTTAGTCAGAGGACATTAGAAGGTAAGGAGTCAAATTATATAGACTATAATACAAATATAACAAATTACAGACTATTATCAATGAAAATCTATAATCCTAGCAAAAAATACATTATAATTATCAAAGAAATGAAAACAGACTCACTCTTTCTCTTTGCATTCTTTTTCAACCTGAGTCAGGTAGTCCCACCGTGTGTTTTCTGCTTTCTTTCTACATAAGATAAGAACTGTATCTGTCTTGACCTAGGAAAAAAGTAGAAAACAGGTACAACTTAGAACACATGGTGATAAGCATGAGTATTTAGAATATAATTATTTACTCAATTACTTGAGTTACTGTTATGTACATGACCTGTTTAGGTGTTAGTAACAGTTTTATAAATAGGCTGGAGTCTGAAGACTCATGGAGAAATGAAATCATACACAAGTGAAACTGGAATACCTTCAAACAGTAGGTGCCATCAAAATAAAGAGGGTATTAATGGGACTGGGGGAGATTAAAGAGGGTATTAGTGGGAACTAAGGAAGGAACTTCACTCGGAAAGCCTTTCAGAGGTGAAATGAGCTGTGGCCCAAGATCCAGCAAAAGAGGGCCTTCCAGGTAGCTGACACAGCAAGGAGAAAGGTCCCAAGAAGGGATGATTTTGGTGTATTTGAAAATGAGGAGGAATGCTGGATTTTGATGACTGAAGGACAGAATAATATGTAGGAGCAGTCAGTCATGCAGAAAATCATCAGGCAGTACTGGTTAAGGAGTTTGGAAGGTGAGTATGCAAAAAGAGCAAGAATATACAACCCTTCCCACAAATATTCATAGACTGTCGGAGTTCTTTGAGTACTACCTTCAACTATGCCATCAGTGGCCAAAGAAAGGCGCAGTGAGTCATAAGCTAATCATTAAACTATATTCTAGTATTACCTTTCAGCTGCTACATAACTATATAAACACAGCAGAATGGCACATCTATATACCAGAGGCATTAAACTTCGTTTATTTAAATTAGGTAGAGAAGAGAGATTATATGAATCAGTGAAAATTATTTTCAAAGATACTTTATTTCCATTTTGTGAAACAAACTGCCATTGTACAAATGAGAAAACTGAGGTTCAAAGTGATGAAGTGAGCTGCCAAAGGTCACAGTAAGTGATAAACCTGGCATTAAAACCCAAGTCTCATTCTTAACTATTTTCTGTTTGTTCAATACCCTCCTGATTCTAATGCAGTTTTCTTATAATCTACTTTTCTAGAGCAGGAGCTGGCAAACTTTTTCTGTGAAGAGCTACTAGATAAATTTAACATTTAAGGCTTTGTGGGCCACAGGGTGTGCTGTAGCTACTTAAACTTGTCATTGTCGTACAAAAGCAGCCACAGACAACACGTACACAGGTAAGCATGGGTATGTCCTAATAAAACTTTATTTAAAACACAAGCAGCAGGATAAGTTAATTCCAGTTCATCTTCATTTCATGATTTCACAGTATTATGACCAAAAATGTAAACTTACCTTTTTTGAACTGCCTTCCACAGAGATGGGTTTCAAGAGATTGTTCACAATCATGGAGTAACTCTTTCCATTTAGGTTCTTTACCAAAAGATCAAATGACCTACAACACAATAGTGAGTACATTATCTTTCTGGTTCTATAAAAGGTGATAATCAGTTCCTGTGGGGGAAAAAAGCCACAGTTCTATTTTAGGATGTGCGTTTGGCCATCTCAGAGCAGAAGACTCAACTTTTAAAGCGGATGTAAAGGATAATTAATACTCAAGCAGAATTTTAGGCACTGCAAAGGAAAGGACCCATTATAAAGCAATCTTCTCCACTGTTGAGAACTCACCTCTCTGTGAAATTCACCTGCACACTCTCAGCAGGCACTTGATGAACTCCAGGTAAGGTAATGTAGATTTTCACAAACTTATCTGACTGGTCCCATCCTGGTAACAATAACAACAGAAAACAATAGGAGTAAAGCCTGATACTATCTCTGGAACAGCAAATGCATATAGCTCATTTAAAAAAATTCAGATAAAAATCTACTAATAGAAACATGAAATAAAAATTTAAGGTTTTTTTTAGATGGAAAAATAGAGCTTCAAAGCAGCTAAGTAATCAACCCAAAGTTAGGCACCTAGCTAATGATATATAACATGGACTCAAATCCAGATTTACTTGAACACAAAACCCGTGCTTTTTATTCCTTCGAATAAGGAATAGGATAGTTTGACTATCTAATTTATTTTATTTATTTAACTATCTAGTTCATTTAACTATCTAATAAAATGTATTTACATTCCTGAAGAACAGCTCATTTCCCTGTTTTATGGAAATAATTTTGTTCTAAGTATTGATAACCTCCACTAAGCTAGACGGCTAAACATCAGTTTTGTCTAATCAGTATTATCTAATTCCATAATCATATCCACTTCTCTAAGCAGTTCAACAAATGCAATCCTAGCTTCCTCAATCCCTTTCCCTGATAAAGCAGAATATAAATGTAGAGTCAAATTCATCCAAATATACCAAATTTGACTAACCTAACAATATCTAAAATATGTTATTTCAGTATATACTATCAAACTATTTAGTCTCTAACCTAGATGAATTGTTTACAGAAAACACACAAACATCACATAAAAAGCATGTTACATAACAAAATGTATTTTTATGTATTTATTGTATACTATATATATGACAGTTTCTTACCTGGTCCAGTAGAATAGAAATGCAGTGTTTTTTTTTAAAAAAAAAATGTGCTAGAGGGTTCTGGAGAACTTCATTTAGTTTGTTCCCATCCATTCGACCCATCCTCCACACCAACAACAATTTCTCCCTAAACACAAACCTAGATTCCTAGTTAAGATGCCATAACCCTACCACCTTCAGGCCAGTTTTCTATAGTCAAAGAAGTACTTAGCATATTTCCCACAGTACTGCAGCACATCACTTAAACTGCTCTTTGCTATGACAATACTCAAAACACATGATGACCTTCATAGCTCTTTATGTCCTTTGCTCATAGAATTCTCTTTTCTTCACAGTTGCTGAACCCACCTTTTAAACTGAGATGTTTCTTCTAATTCTCCCTGACTCTTACCTTCCAGCAGAGTTATTTTATCAGCTATAGTCTCATAATACTTTAAAGCTTTATTTGGTTAAGCAAGTATTTATTAAGTACTTACTATGTGCTAGATATTGAGAGCACAAAGTAAAAAAGATTATCCGTGACTTCATGAGAGCTCATTACTCAGACTTCAAGCTGTATTGCTTCCAAAATAAAGCCTACAGTCAACTGAGGAAAAATGGTACTATGATGTTGTTATGGTACCAGGTGTATGTCTATGTCCCAAACACACCATGAGCAGGGACTGGGACTTGTGAATACACAACAGTGAGCAAGACCAAGTACAATACAAGATATTAGATGCTCAGAAATGTTTTTTGAATTTAATTGGATTACCTTCCACAGTTACTATGGGTGGTTGTTTGGCAAAGTGAAATAGGAAACAGGAAGACAAAAAGCTGTCCACATATATGAAACTAGTCATCATCAAAAAATCTACAAACAAACAAACAAAAAATCTACAAACAACAAATGCTGGAGAAGGTAAGGAGAAAAGGGAACCCTCCTACACTATTGGTGGGAATGTAGTTGGTGTAGTCGCAATGGAGAACCGTCTGGGGGTTCCTTAAAGTAAAAACAGAATTACCGTATGATCCAGCAATCTCACTTCTGGGCATACACCCAGAGAAAACCATAATTCAAAAGATACATGCATCCCAATGTTCACTGATGCACTGTTTATAACAGCCAGGACATGGAAGGAACCTAGATATCCATCTAGAAGAATGAATAAAGAAGAGTGGTACATATATACAATGGAATATTACTCAGCATAAAAAGGAACAAAATTGTGCCATTTGCAGAGATGTGAATGGATCCAAAGATTGTCTTAGATGAAGTGAGTCAGCAAGAGAAAAACGGTATAGGTGAACTTATCTGCAAAGTAAAAATAAGACACACAAATATAGAGAACAAACACAGATACCAAGGGTGAATGGGGTGGTGGTGGTGGGATGGATTGGGATTTACATATATACACGGCTGTGTATAAAACAGATAAACTAATAAGAACTGACTGTACAGTACAGGGAACTTGACTCAGTGCTCTGTGGTGACCTAAATAGGAAGGAAATCCAAAAAAGCAGACTTAAGTACACCCAGAGCCATTCACGGTGCTGTACAGCAGAAACTCCAACACTGTGAGGCAGCGATACTCCAGTAAAAAAGATACACATGAAAACTCAGCAAATCTAAAGAAAAACGTATACACACACACACGGAAGTTTTTTAAATACACAGCAAGCTAACATATATCAATGTATCACATTACTATTACCAATGAGTTGGAAATACTGAATGCTTACAATTTTATGGTAAAATAAACAAATATTGAATAATGCTTACTTCAGTTTAAAACTATATGTGTTTTATTGGGACATGCAATATATCCCTTATAAAATATTGTATTCTAAACAGTATTATGGTTATTACTGGAGTATCTCTGGGTAGTAGAATTACTATTATTTTCTCCATGTTTTTTCTATTATCCAAATTTTCTTTGATAAACACATACAGACACAAAGCTGAGTCCATATATACTGAATATATCTCAGAATAGGTTCCTTTTTAATCTCTTAAAAACCATCTTATTAAATAAGAGCTGATGGGTCCTCTATTTCAAATCACCAAAAACACTCAAAACTTTTCAAAAATGATTTTGTTAGTCTCTACTGAAGAACAGGCCTCCTCAGAGGCAGAAAGAGCTGGATGTGATGTGAGGGACAAGCCATACCGTAATTACTGATTTTCACTGTATATCCTGTTGTGATAGGAGCAACCACAGCAGCTGGCTTCTCATTTTCTGTAAGTTCTGCTTTCCTCTGTGATTTCTGCTGCATCTTATTCTTCATTTCTGTCTCAATCTTGGATTTTTCAGCTGTCAGGGCATCACGTACTCTCTTCCTAGTGGCTTTTTCCAGCAGTACCTTCACCTCTTCTAGATCTTTCTGGAGCTGTGTTAAAATAAAAGATAAATTAGATATGATAAACAAGATAATCTGATTTTATGCATATTGATCACTTCAACTCACTGAACTAAGAGCTAAGAATAAGAGACAGGGTCACTTAAATTTTCTAGGAATGGTAGCAACTAGGAGTCTTTCCTCCAGCCTACTGAATTATAAATAACTCAAGCTCCCTTTCTTTTAAAAAGGAAAACTTGGAATTAACAATAAGTAATCAAGCCAAATTTTTCCAGTTTGGTAGACTGTTTGCTATCTGCCTTTGTTTTAAAAAATTTACAAGATACGTTTGTGATTTATAAATATTTTCTGATAAGATGAATAAATTCAACAAAAAGGGATTCATGGATTTCATTGTAACATGCAGTCCTGTCATCAGATATTAGGAATTTTTTAAATATTAAAATAAATGAGTACCTGATAAGCATGGTGAAATGGTACAGCTACTTGACTGAGGTAATCCTCTACTTTCCAATAATGATTGGTCCTCAATGGTCTTCCCACCCCAAATAGTATAAATAGAAAAGTTTACTATTTTAAGACCAAAGATTAAAAAAAGACATATTTCTTGTAATTAGTTGCCTGATTCTAAAGCTCCTGGTTAATTTTACCATCAGAAGCCTGGGACTTCGTTGCACAATAGAGGGGAAAAACCTGGCAAACAATCCAACACACTCCTGGATCACTGAAAATGCCACCTGTTTTTTCTTCTCACACCAATACATGGCCTACCCAAGCCTATTTCTATTTCTTTCTAGAGAGAGACCAAGACACTGTTAAAAAATTAACGGGCTTAAAAACTTTTTCCCATTTATCCTTTGACCTACTGCAAATGCACGAGATCTTTATAAACAAGGGATTCATTTTTGTTAAAATGACTTTACATTCTCACTTGATACTAGCAATTTGACAGGAAGACTGACATTATAGCCAGGATCATGTAAGGTTCAATGTGAAAATATTTAAATGCTTGATAACCTGGTATAATATCCAAAGTACAGCCTGAAAGTGTTTCTTACGAGTTTTAAAAAATGCAAAGACTTTCTGCATTTTTCTGTATGAATGCCTTTTACCTCAGGTCTTTTATCTCATTTAACTCAGATGCCCTTGTTTCACCTATCTGTAACTGCTAACTTGGTATAAAAAGTCCAACTGTGCCCAATCTCCTGTCCAAATTCTATCCCTGCCTCCCAAAACTCATGTTACTAAGACAAAAATTGCAAACTCATCTTTTAAGCATAGTACCAAGTTCCTTTTAGTTCAAATCAATCTTTTCTGTTATCATGGTTTTAAAAATTCACATTGTAATAACAAGATGACAAAAAAATTAAAATGCACGGTGAGTATATTGTTTTTAGAGTAAGGACTTAACAAATGAAAATGTATAGTCCAAACAAAAGAGGTTTTACTTCTTGACTGAAATAAGAATCCTTCTTCCCAAAGAAAAAGAAACTGAGAGTTATGCAAGAGATCCCTAAACCCTCTCTACAGCCAGTCTAACTCTATAGTACTACAAAAATAAGATATCCACTCAAAGTCTGAAGCAACTTACCGAGGGTCTGGTGAAGGTAATTCCTCAGTTCTCTGTTATCTGCAGAGATCTGACCAGTAAAATCGATCCCTTGGGACTTTTCCTGTAGACATACCTTAGATACAGCACTTCTTACCTAATGTGTCTAAGTATTCATTTGTTTTCCTTATGCAAAATCACATCTCCCTTTTATCCCTCTTCATAAACGTAGTCTTTTATTTCCAGATTCTTCACCAGGAAGGGTTAAAACCAAAGTGTCTCAAAACAAGCAAAGGACTTGCGCAGACATTTCTCCAAAGATACACAAATGGCCACCAAGCGTAGCAAAGGATGCTTAACATCATTAAGCAAATATAGTAAATCCACTTCACATCTACTAGGATGACTAACAACAAACTCCAGCAAACAAGTGTTGTTGAGGATGTGCAGAAATTGAAACCTCCATACACTGTTTGTGGCAATGTAAAATGGTGCACTTTGGGAAGGAGTTCAGCAGTTTCTTAGTTACCATACGACCCTACAATTCCACTCCCAGATATATACCTAGAGATTTGAAAACCATATATCCACATAAAAAACTGTACACAAGTATTCAGGGCAATAATGTTCTAGGGGCCCAGAGAGTGAAAATCATCCAAGTGTCTATCAATTTATGAATAAAGAAAATGTGGTATAACCAAACAAAAGAATACTATTCAGCCATATAAAGAAATACATGCTTCACCAAGGAATGAATCTGAAAACAATATGCTAAGTAAAAGAAGTCAAAAAGCAAACAGTCACATATTGTAACATACCACTTATATGAAATGCTTAGAATAGGCAAATCCATAGAGACACAACTAGACTGCTGGGTGCTGGCAGGGAGTAATGGGAAGTGACTGCCTAATGGCTGCTTGATAGATTTCTCTGAGGGTTGAAAAATTATAGTGTTGATGACTGCACAACACAGTGAACATACTAAAAAGCACTGCACTGTACACTTGAAAATGGTTAAAACCTGTGAATTTTATCTCAAACAAAACCAAAAATCCAAAGTGTCCCTAAATGTATACATTGCAATTAAAAAGCTCCCTCCTTTGAAGATGACTAATACTGAACTATCCATATGTACGACTGTAAAGCCACTTCTATGGACCATAAAGAAGGCTGAGCACCGAAGCCTGTTGTGTTCCAACGATGGTGTTGGAGAAGAATCTTGAGTCCCTTGGACTGCAAGATCAAACCAGTCAATCCTAAAGAAAATCAATCCTGAATATTCATTGGAAGGACTGATGCTGAAGTTCCAATACTTTGGCCACCTGATGTGAAGAACTGACTCACTGGAAAAGACCCTGATGCTGGGAAAGATTGAGGGTAAGGAAAAGGGGACAATAGAAGACAAGATGGTTGGATGGCATCACCGACTCGATGGACATGAGTCTGAGCAAGCTCCAGCCAGTAGTTGGTGATGGACAGGGAAGCCTGGCATGCTGCAGTCCATGGGGTCGCAAAGAGTCGGACACGACTGAGTGACTGAACGACAAAAAAGCCACTTCAGATACACTTTCCTCCGGGCACATGGTACCATCAGGCCTATATTTAACACATAACAAACTTGTGGCAAGTTAACTAGAATAACACACACATGCACGTTTTCTTCATTTAAAGCAAATTTTCAGAATCACGTTAAGTCAAGTGTGAGATTTCCCAGTCTTGCTCATATTAATCAGAAGATTTCCAAAGAACAAATCTAGTCAGTGGATACTCAACACTTTACCGTGAATAACAGTATTGACATCTTAAGTCAGTAAAAGAGCAATGCAAGTTTGATTCCCATTCTGTAACTGCGCAGTCACCAAAAAAGCTGCCTCTGTTCAGTTTACACAGCTTAGAAGAGAAAAAGCTATTTACCACTACTAAGTTACAACTAACTTTCCAGTTTATTTTTTAAAACGTCTATAGCAGATTGCTGTTTTGCCAAGCACTGTTTTGAACATTTAGAACTCTTGGTCTTTATGACTCCATGAAATGGATACTACTGTGGCCCACAGAAGCACCATAACTTGTCCAAAGTGTGTGCAGAGAAAACATGACTAAGACATTTAAGTGCTAGGACCGAAAATCTCCCATTTCCAACCGCCCTCTACCATGGAACAACAGTTTTTGCATCAGCCGTAATTTAACGAAGCTTCACGTCCTCAGGCTAGTGTAACGCGAGCGGAGGAGCCTGAGAATAACGTGAAGGTGACCAGCCCTCAGGCCCACCACCGCACATACCTGCTACCGGGAACCACAACACATCTCCCGCTCACCCACACCGAGCCGGGGAGGCGTCGGAAAGCAACTTTCCGGGGGCAAGCGGAGGCCCCGAGGCCCGCAGCAGCCGGGTCGGCACCGAGGCCGCTTCGGTTGGGCGGGTGGGAGGCCAGGCGGGTAGGGCGGGAACCCGAGGACGCAGGCGGGCTGCCCGACTGGCAGGTGCCGCCGGCGGCCGAAGGGCAGCTCGGCACGCGAAACGGGCGGGAGACGGAGCGGAAAGCTCCAGCAAGGCCGAGGAGGAAAATAGGGCCGAACTCCTTACCTCTTCCAAAGCTGAAGACATGGTCGGGTTGCTTCAGGCAAGGCCCGGGCTGCAGCGGCGTAGGACGGAGAACGGGAAACGCCGCACCCAGCGCTCTCACCGCGAGCGCAGACAACACCGGCACGAGTAGCGGCGGACGTAGCTTGCGAACACACCTGACCCTGCGCGAGATTTCGGCCCGCCTCCCGCACGCGGCGCCTCTGGAACCTTCGCGAGTCCTTCGCCACCGCCCAACCAGCCTCAAGCACCGCCTACCGGGCTCGGCTCCGCCTCGCCTCTCCTGGCCCCGCCCCACCCATCTCGTCTCTTAGCAACACTCAACTCTCGCGATCAAACCGGCAGTTCGAGAAGAGTAATGCCTCCACCTCCCAGCCCGGGAAACTGAGTATACTTTGACCCCGTTTGTCCCGCCCGCGCAGTCGCCGCTCCGAGCTGCTGCCTTCCGTATGGTAATAACCATAACCCAACCCCGGAAATCTGCGGGGTCCAAACCGGAAATTGACGACAGAGTCGGTTGTTTCCGTGCGCTCTAGGACCCGGGGCCATCGAGGCGGCCATCTTGTGTAAGACTAATTTGTGAACTTGTACGAGGCCAAAAAAAAGGGGAGGAAAGGAAACCTATTTATGTTAAAGTGAGAAGGAACAAGAACGTTAACTGCAGAGTCCTGAAGAGAATAGTTTAATTTTCACTAGGTTCTGGTGCTCTGGAGACTTCACGACTTAACGTGTACAACGTGGTTACGTCATCACGGACCGCGGACCCATTAGTGCGTCGGGGCAAGTAATATAGCGGCACCTGGAGACATCACGATTTAGCGTTACGACGTGGTGACGTCACTACGGACCAGGCGAGGAGGAGGGGTTGTACTTGACCCGGACCCGCGGTCGCGGCTCGGAGAGTAGGGGTAGTAATATATGGATGTCTCCGTAGGCCCAGCGTTTGCGGTCTCGCAACCCACTCCAGTATTCTTGCCTGGAAAACCCCGTGCACAGAGGAGCTTGGCGGGCTGTAATAGTTCATGGGGTTGTAAAGAATCGGACGTGACTGAGCGACTCTTTTTTTTACCCCTTCCCTCCGTACACCGTATAAGCGCTTCCGTGGAGCCCTCACCGACCATTCTGCGAATCTAGTTGTCACCCAGGTTTGGAGTCGGTTTTAGTGAGCCTGTAGACCACAGATATCGACTTAGCGACTGAACAACATCGACCGTAGAAAATGTGAGCCAAGCTTTTCTGGGGATGCGTTCTGCTCTTGTTCTAGCTCCCGTTATCTCGCTTCCTAAGACCCTTAACTCTTTTCAGATTATTTTAGCTTTTGGCAAGCCCGTCGAAAGCATAAACAATAACCCTTGAGAAGTCAAATAGCCTGCATTCAGCTTTATAAAGTCGTCCGAGGTAGAGCTTAGAAACAGCAAGTAAAAGGAGTATAAACAGCAGGCGGACCATTATCATGGTCAAGAATGTGAAGGGCAGTACAAAAACAAATTACAGGTATGCACAACGTGCACGAATTTCAAACCTGATGTTAAAGGTAAAGAAGCCAGGAGGAAGTCCTATCGTTTGGTTCCCTTTAAACGAAGTCTAAAACCATTAAAAATCCGGTTAGTCTTTCCTTAAGCGGGAGAGACAGTGACAGACAGGAACCACAAGGGGGCTTTTGCGGTTCAAACTATTTTGTTTTCTTGCTGTGGATGCTGGTTACAGATGTGTTCACATTGTAGAAATTTCATTGAACTGTAATTTGCCTTTTCTTTTGTGTGTTCTAATGAGCTGTAGCCCGCAAAACTCCCCTAACCGTGGAATTCTCCACGCGAGAATACTGGAGTAGATTGGTATTCCCTTCTCTGGGGGATCTTCCCGAACCAGGGATTGAACCCCAGGATCTCCTGCATTGCAGGCAGATTCTTTACTGTTTGATCCACTAGCGAAGCAATATAGTTAACTAAAAGCTATATTTAACTAGGCCCAGGAGGGAATTTTCCCTGGATGATAGAAATGTTACACTGATACATGCCATTGTCAGAATTCATAGAACTAACTCCTAAGATCTGTGGGTTGGTTGGTTTGTTTAGTTATATCTCAAGTTCAAAAAAAAAAAGCGTCTAGGGAATTCCTTAGTGCCCAATAGTTAGGACTTGTCTTTAACTGCTGAGGCCTGGGTTCAATCCCTGGTCAGGGAACTAAGATCCCACAAGCCCTGAAGCACAGCCAAAACAAAAAAGTCTTAACTGGAAACCTGGAATTCTTTAGGTACTTAATTAAATAGGAATAAATAACCCATTTCACTGTGTGAGAAACTGACCTAACCCAGTGATTTTTAAATTTGCTCGATTATACACCTGGGGCAGATTCTCCCACCAGATAGCCTAAGGTCACAGTTTTAAATACCACCAGTTACCAGTGACTCTGCTCAGTTGTACCACTCCTCTGAGCTCCAGGCTCTGCCTCTGCTTGGATGTCTGATGAGCACATCAAATTCAGCTTATCTGAAAAACAAACCAACCAGGAAAAGAAAAAAACACCTCCAGATTTCTCATCCTTACACCCCAGATCAGCTTTTCCAGTTATTCTCCAGCTCTGTGAAGGTCACCTCATTCTCTTTGTGGCTCAGGCCAAGGAGTCATACTTGAGTCTTCAGTTTCAGTCCTACATCCCTTCCTCTGCCAAGTCTTGGTGGCTTTCAAAGTATGTTGAGAATAAAACCACTTCTCACAACCTCCACTGCTACCACCTAAGACCAAGGCAATGAGTATTTTGTCTGGACTGTTAGCCTCTTAGCTGGCTTCTCTGCTTTCCCACTGGGCCTTTACAGTTAGTTTTCCAGAGTAGCCAAAGTAATCTTTTCAAATGAATAAAATCCAAACTCCTTACACAACCTGGACTGTTCTACATGATCTTAAATTTCACCTTGGCGATCCCTTATCTGCCGGAACTCATCTCTCACCAGTCTCCCCTCTTCCTGATTACAACACTGGCATTTTTGTCACTCCTTGAATCCACTGAGTTCTCACCTCCAGGTCTGTGCTCTGTGCTTTCTTTCAGTCTGGAATGGTTTTCCTCCAGATCATCACATAGCTTTTTCTGTCTTCCTTTTCTGCCAGCGCTTAAAAACACCTTAGAATTTCCCATTTTTAACAGAAATTCAACGCTGCTTCTCTCCAGTTGTATCCTATAATTGTCCTTCCATGTATGATGTAGAAGCAAACTGACTCCTTGCACTGCTTCCATCAGGAGTTACTGGGTACATCAGATTCCCAAATCAAGGGGAAAAAAGTGAAGAACGTTGTATCCCAAGATAAAAGCAGACCATGATCGACACACACATCAGGGTCACGGTATCTAGTTCTAAACTCGAGAACCTGAGCCTTTCCTCTGAAATTAGACTCCCTAAAATCAAATGCTTTGTCTCTGATTTTTGCAATGCTGATGTCTAAAAATATGGATTGTAGTGTGAGAACCATGAACAAACTAATTATAGACTCTATCCTTGGAAATTGTGTAGTTTCTTCCTATAAATTCTTGCAATTTCTATTTGGCAAGCTTGTTCTTCTAAAGCCTGAACTTCCTCACAAACTTACTTTGCAATTAAACTTTCAAAAGATTTTATTCTGGACTTCCCTAGTGGTACAGCAGTTAAGACTTTGCCTTCCAATGCAGTGGGTGCAGGTTCAGTCCCTGGTAGGGGAGACTGAGATCCCAGGCCTCACAGCTGAAAAACAAAACATAAAACAGAAGCAGTATTGTAACAGATTCAATAAAGACTTTAGAAATGGTCCACATCAAAAAAATCTTAAAAGATTTTGCTGAGTGTCCCTTTGACAGTGCTCAAAAGTTTTGTTAAAAGCATAATTTCAAAAAGGTGAAATTGATTCTCATGCAAATAAAAAATGAATATTAACAAATACTTTATACAACTCATTGCATAAACCAGTGAGGGAACCAGTACCTTATTAAAACTGTCAAAAAGTGCATTTGCACAGCTAGGTATTTATAGACAAGTTAGCAATGGAATATTAGTGTAAGGTTGCAAAGTTAGACACAAACTACTTACTGTCCTATGGAGTAGTAGAACTATATCTAACTTTTGGAGTCATCTATTCCACTGGAAAGAAAATGGGATTTGCGTCCTTCCTGGACAAAAACCTACAGGTTAACAGGTAACTTCACAGAGTGTAGGACCTTTAATCAATAATGAACAGCGAGTTCCACTTACTTTTCATGACAGGACCATTCATGACCTTGTAACTGCCAAGCTCAGTAGATATTTTCTGGATAATTTGATGGTTTTACTTTTTATATAAAATTTCTCATTGTTTTAATTGCTACATGGGCCAAACAAAAGATGTCTGTAGTCAGGGTTCGGGGCACAAACTAATTTTACAATCTCTGATTAATATTTTTTTAATACATGAATTCTAAGAGGAGCTGACTAATCTGGCTTTAAGTCACTTAGTCGTGTCCAACTTTTTGCGACCCCATGGACTAGAGCCTACCAGGCTCCTCCATCCATGGAATTTTCCAGGCAAGAGTATTGGAGTGGGTTGCCATTTCTTTCTCCAGGGGATCTTCCCAACCCAGGGATTGAACCCGGGTCTCCCGCATTGCAGGCAGACGCTTTACCATCTGAGCCACCAGTAAAGCCCCTCATTTGGCTCCAGGGACACCCAGAACAAAATGCAAATTAGAACCCAGTGCAAATCGCAATTTTCTGTACCCTGCCTCTACTTCAGGAGAGCCTACAGAGTTTTCAAAGTTCTGCCTGAATTACATGATGTCACCCACTGGATTGTACTCTGAAAGATGAGCAGCAGCCACCCAATCCAATATTAGCCAATCAGATTGTTGCAAGATTTTGAATTGGGACACTGAGATGCCAGTCTGTCTCTGCTGGCCACTTGAAGGGCATATAAACCTGGAGGTTACACAGTTTGAAGCAGAGGGTGCCTCCTTTCAGAGACAGCAGCAGCAGCAGCAAAGCGCCGCCTGTCAAGACAAGCAGGAGAGTGAATATGAGAGCAGTTGTTCACATTCCAGCCCCTTGTCCCTGCGCCGCTTCAGGCCCAACAGTCTGGCCTTTGGTTATGAGCTAGATATACTTTTTCCCTTTTAATAAGCTGCCTTATTATCATTAGGTTAGCTTGAGAGAGTTTGTTACTTGCAACCAAGGAATCCTTAGAGGCATGCAGGGCAATTCGCTGTGCCTCTGCACAGGATGTCGTCTTGCAGGGAATCACCCAGAGCAAACTCCTACTTATTTCTCCTTGCTGCAAGGACTAGAGTCTAGTACCAGATAAGAAGCTTTTCACCAACGCCAGGTTCAGATGATTCAGAATAAAGTCAACTAGAAAAAAATCAAAAAGACATAGATGGATTTTAGAACGAATGTTTATTACTGCTTAATGGGGCCAAAGGGGCAACACAAAGCATTGAGAACATCACTGGCTCACAAAAACAGTCACCTTGCTACCTTCTTGGTTGCATTTGTTTATTTCACAAGGCTTCATTCAAACATGAAAACAAGATATTAATCCAATTCAAGTTCATAACAATTATAAAAGTAAACATTTGTTGGGACAATGTACAATAAATTGCACTTTTCTTAACAAGCATTACATTTACATTTATAGAGTGTACTATACATAATACATGGAATAATGGAAACATCTAATTGGTCAGTTGATAGAGGAGAGAGGCTGCTCACTAATTTCTTTTGTAGTCAATTAGCACTGTTTGAGCTAATCAACTCCTTTATTCTGGAACCTGTTTTCATTGGAGAAGCCATGGGCAAAATCATAGAATTCGTAAAAACAGATGGCATAGAATTTCTACTACCTCCTCAGCAAGGGAAAGGTAGGAGTTGAAAGAAATGAAGTGAGGCTGACTGAGAAACTTTCTTTCTTATATGAATTAAGGATCCATACATTATGCAGAACACCAAAAATAGAGAAACTGATGCAAAGGCTATTACGATCTTGGATTCTGGGACCAATTCCAGGCTTTATTCTTGTGCTTTCATGACACCAGAGTCGACGAATTTATGTCCTTGTCATTCAGTTTCCTATATTTTATTCCATATATAATATATAGTTATTAAAAGTTACATTTCAACAGAAAAGATTTTACATGTTAATTTATTGCCAATGAAAAATGAAAGTAACTTAAAATATTCATTTTCTACTCAATGATTCTTTTTTTAAAAAGTTTCCAGAATACCACTAATGAAAAACCAGGGGTGAAGGCAGGGAGAATGGGACACGTTGATGAAGATGTTTTTATAGCAGGGAGCAAACACACTTGTAGCTAAGCTTGACATGTAGTCTTTGAGATGCGAGCTAAGACAGGAATGTCTGACAGCTGACTGGTCACTAAGCTCCTCATAAACATCCACTTTTCTCCTTACAACTCAAGATGACCATTTCCTATCGAGGTGCAGCCCACACGCACATTTTCATTTGGTCGCTCCTGAGAGAGAAGAAAACCCCTAAGAGCTCTGCCTGTGTTACACGGAAGCCACGATGAAACAGGAAGGTGTTCTGCAGCAGTTCCAGTTCCATGTGACCATCAGCATGGCAACTAGAGGGCAAGAGTTTTGTATCTGGTAGGAAACACAGGCCACTGAGCTGGGTGTGGCCTTCTGTATCTGATCACCATGTGCATGTTCAGTTGAATGGTACCAGGGTATACCAAAGAGGCAGGGATAAGCCGTATAAAATTATACCAATCACCAATCACACACACACAAATCTCACAGCATTCAAATCAAACAATAGTTTGTTCATGCTCTCGTTTACCTATACTTGAAGCAAGAGAAGAAGAATTTTTTTTTAAGAGTAAGTTATACAACAGAATTATCTTACTAAGTAAAGTGTTCTGTGCCAGAGAGAGAGAAAATATTCACTTTTTAAAAGCTTCTTTTTCCCTAACACAGTCATGAAATTGTACAACCACCTTACCAGAATAATTAGTAGACTGATCTCAACTAAAGAAAAAGAAAACTCAATCCCTTACATTAGTTACATATGTGATTCTTATCCTCAGAAATGAATCCGTTCCTTTAAGAATCTCTCATCTCTTGTGCCCTAAATTGTGTATTTTCTTGTTTCTCTCACTTCAGCTAGGAAATGAAGCGACTAGTTATCAACTGGAAAGTATTTTAGGAAAATGGAGTAAGGGTTTGAGAAACATAAATGTTAATAAAGAGGATGAAAGTTTCAAAAACAATGAAACCAGATAAATACTATTAAATATCCCAACATCAGTACAAAGATTACATTTCTACTTTATTATGGAAATTTTAAGAAAGCCAATGAAGAACAAACCACAAACTAATAGTTGGGAGAGGGAGGGATGGAGAATTATTAGTTGCATGGAAAGGTAGGCCATAGGCCTATGTGACATTCCTATTAGTGTTTCTGATAGGCACTCATATACAGAACATTAGGTAACAGAATTTCTTTGCATTAAATTAAATGGAACTAAATATAACCAAATTGTGCTATGGCTCAGGATGTGGGAAGCTACAAAACATATGCAGTGAAAAATTCAACTTGGTTTCTTTCAGCTCTAAGGAATGTGTTAAGATTCTCAAGATATAAAAGCTAATGACTGAATTATCAAATTGAACTTCATTCTCTTATATTGAAGAATTTAATGAAAGGAGAACTCTTCAGAATGCTGCAAATGTTGGATTTTTGGAGGAATGTTTTATTCAAGATGAAAAACTCTCTGAAATATTTGAAATTTTCCTGGATATTTGAGCTGGTCAACCTCTTTCTAAAATCAAAAGAAGATTATGAATTCTCAAATATACTTTGAGATAAATTAAAACTAGCAGATACTTAATGCTGGAATGCATGAAACAATATATGTTGAAAGGCATGTGGTCTGGGATAGTGCTATTGTAACACTGTATGAATAATATCATATACCAACTTTTGAATTTTCTTTCTTTCTGTATTTTCTATTGCTACTCAGCCATAGGCATTGTAGTGAGGGACAGTTTAGACTATAATACTAATACACATACCCAAGTATGATGTGGAACTGGAAGAGGAAAAAAAATCTATAGATGGCCATTATAATCTGTTAAAAGAGTTAAAATCCAACAGATTAAATGTTTACAATGTTTGTACCTGGTGATTTTGTTTAAAGAAGCAAATGTTAGGGGCTATAAAACTGAGCCAGGTCTACAGGTAAGAACTGAACCTACAGCTAGTTCTCTCTCAACT